TCATTCAATTATTTTTTTTCAAAATCGTTACTAACTATACATTTTGGTCACCATTAAAAAATTAATAGAACTACTGACATGATATTTTTCAATGATGATGTGGTATACCTTATGATGATACGTCATCATCACTATTAAAATTTTAACGACAAGCGATCAAAATGAAACCAAAAATAACATTAATTATGATTTTAAAAAATATAGTTATGTGATAAAATGAAACTAAAATGATAGTTGCGGTTGGGCAACTAAATACATATTTTAACCAAAATATTAATAAAATAAGTTAAATTCAAAAGTTAAATGATTAAATTGACGATTTTTAAAATTAGTGACCCGAATATGAGTAAGAAGATATTTTAGTACTTAATGGAGTAGTTTTCCCAAAACGTGATAGAGATCAATATGCAAATCGAGTATAATTTAGGGACTATTTTTCTAACGAAACCTTAAAAAGGGTCATTCCTTCATTATCCCCTCGCGTCTTAGGGATTAAGCGAGGCAAAACTATGGAACACCGACCGTCGGGCGGTTTGACGGCGATGAGGAAGAGAGGCGGCGTGATAGGTGGGGCGAGGATTCAATGGCTCGAAGATGATATCCTTTGTACCATCTTCTCCTTCCTTCACGTCTTCGACCTCGTTCGCTGCACTGCCGTTTGCAAATCCTGGTACTCCCTCAATTTTATCACTTTCTTTTGTTATTCAAGGATTTACCTTATAATTGCTTCTTTTTTATTTACTTTTAATTAAGGAATGCAGTCATTAAGAAGTCTGAGTTACTGCAAGTGTTATATTTCAAGCTGCGGCGAGATTCTGCTGAGTCTAGTTCTTCTCGACAACTGAAATCATTAACCAAAAGTCGCTACTTATATTGTTACAAAAGATAGTTGAAACTGAGGCGTGGAGTGTTTCTAATCTTGCATTTTGTTAGGGTTGATCAGTGCCGGATGAAGACGGGCTTACTTCTCACTGGTGTAGGTGACAAGGTATACTTTTTGTTGCATTTGTCTTTGTATGTCAATTCTCTCCATTTAATCAAGCCTGCGTACCTTGCCTTCGTTGATTCATCAAAAGACCAGGCATTGTTCTCACCATTTTCATGTGCACAAGTTCATCCAATATGGGTGCTATGCTATCTATTCTACTCATATTTGAAAGATACTACCAGAAAGAGAATTCCCCATGCTTTTTTAAGTCAAATACAAATTTTGGGTAATTAACTGTGGATGGTGAATGGTCAGAATTTGATTATATTGGATATACTGGAAGCATATGGTTATGTACATGGAAGATGTGGAACGTCATCATCTTTTTTGGATTTTCCTTTATACTTTATATGCTATTAATAGTAATTAGATTCCCCAAACCCAAGTTATGCTTGGAAAGCCAATCTTGAGTTGAGAAAGGTTTAGTTTTCCATCTTAAGGCTGAATCAATGTCAATAAAATGTTAAATGCTCCTCCAAGATTTTCAGGAATCATGGATTCCTTTAATTTTGTAGTAAACTTCATCCTTCTTTTGTATGAAAGGTTTTTACTCTACCCTTAAGTCTTCTCATGCTTTTACATGGAAACTTAACCAGGTCATGCGCCTTTGGTCTTTGGACAGCTACAAATGTGAGGAAGAATATTACATTCCTGATACTTCCCACCTAGTTGACTTTGCTTTTGATGAGAGCAAGGTATCTTCATTCTCTTCTTAACAGTTAGTCATTAGCTGCTTAATCTCTCTACCAGTCTCTAATTCTCCTTGTTTGCTCATCACTAACCTCTCTTTTTCCACAACTGTGTCTCCTAGATCAGCATGCAAGTGGCCTTAAACATCTACCGCTCTATTAAGAATTTAATTAGGTTATATTGAAAGTTTTCAGAGGATTTAGTTATATAAATTCTTCTAAATAATTCTATGCTTGTTTTTCTTACAGATTGTTGGCTTGCTTGGTACCCGTGTAGGCATATGGAGACGAAATGGGAAAAGAAGTATATTTCCCTCGCGTGAAGGAACATTCTCAAAAGGTTTATGTATGCGGTATGAATAGATGCTTAGTTTATGTTGATTTACAGAATTGTCTGGCAACATATTCTAGTCTAAAATTCCACTCTTAAACCACATTAGGTACGTTGATCCAGAGGCTGTCATTGGATGTGAAGATGGAACTGCTCGTGTATTTGACATGTACAGCCGGATATGTTCACGAATTATCAAGTATGCAATCTGCTTGTTTAATGTTATATGTTTCGTGTGTGTGTGTGTGTTTTTCTCTCATCTGATGTTAGAAATAATCTGTTTAATGCCTGCTTATTGATCTCTCCATTGCAGGATGCATTCTGGCCCTGTAACATGCTTAGCTTTGAGTGATGATCAGTTGATTGTCAGCGGGAGCTCTCTTGGTAGTGTTTCGATATCCAGCCTCTCGTCTGATCAGCGGGTAGCTACACTGAGGTCAACTGACTCGGCAGGTTATATGATTAAAAACTTATGAACATCTGGCATTTAACACTTCTTTTTCAGTTTTCTTTTTTTGGTATTTTACATTTTAAACATTAACCTAATTTATTCTTATTCTTACAGGCATAAGGACCCTGTGTTTCAACCCTAGTTCTCATTTAGTGTTTGCTGGGACAACAGTGGGATATACGTACTGTTGGGACCTTAGGTATGTTAGTTAAGTGAGGATTTATTCTGCCTCTTCTTCCTTTTTTCCTTTATACATATAATTCTTTGTTGGTATTAGTTCAAGTTTCCTTCTTGTAAAGGAGTAATGAAACTGCAACTCTATTGTCCAAGGTAGAAAAGGTTGGATGGGATCTATCAATCTGTGTTAATATCTGGTCATAAAGACTGTTGACAAATGAGTGGCTAAATTACCTTGCTCTTGAATATGCAGGACCATGAAATCTTTGTGGGGGACACGCATAAGTTCAAATGTTGTGTATTCCTTGAATCATTTGCAGAGTGATAATTCAACGTTAGTTGTTGGTGGAATAGATGGTGTGCTTCGAGTTTTAAATCAGGACACGGGCAAAGTTCTTTCAAGATGTGTCATTGATGATGAGAGGCCGATCAGTTCCTCTAGAAATATGCATGCTTCCATCGAGAAAAAGAAAGGATTAAGGCTCTCGGATGATGCCGAAATTGACCAGATACCTAGAGCTTGTCGACCTCCCATAACATGCTTGGCAGTTGGGATGAAAAAAGTTGTCACCGCACATAATAGCAAGTACATTAGAATGTGGAAATTCAACATGTAACTGAGAGGTTGCTTTTATCGGCCATAATTGTATCTCTATATTATTCCATCAGGATCAAGATTGCTTTCATTTTAACCATGCAGCTCCTTTCTTATCTGGATGGATCTTACAACCCATGTGGAGTCAATGAGGATCGTGATGTGACCCACCGCCAGTCCTATTACAGAAACTACAGCAGCCTTGTGATGTCCTCGTGGGCCATGCCCAATGAATGGGCTAAGTTTTATTATGCTTCTTCCAGAAGAACTTGTTAGCCAAAATTGACTGTTAATGTTATGGCTCCTTAGTCTCCTTACCATACAAAATTGACTTAGAATCTACTGCTTTTGAGTTTGATGATGAACTTGCTCTTCCTTTACTTGATTATTTTCATAAAGAATTCTGTTTGGTCGGTAGGGGATTTGTATTATTCATTCGTAGTTAGGTACTTATTAAAAAGGTATCTGTACATGTGTTTGTAATTTCTTTCCCCATGAACGAATTTTAAGGAGATCAATAATACATGCATTTGTACTTGCTTTTTTTTTTGGTTTGATTTGCTAATCCTACATTATCAAACATATTCAACCCTAAACTGTTGAATAGGATTAGGTAGGAGTATTTATAATATAAGCTGTAGTACTCAGGCTATAGCACTAGTAGCAGTTGCAGGTGAGACCTATGGGACCAGATATTAATGGTAAACGCTAGGATCCTTTCATTGATATTCCTCTAAAAGGTATTCGAAGTAACAGTGTAATGTTAACATTTACTCTCAAGTCTTAACGTCTTTATTTATTTATTTATTTTTGCAGTGTTTTTTAATTTTTAATATTTCATTTTAAATTAAAATAATTTTTAAACAAAATTTTGGATAAATTATATGTTTAGTGCCTCAATTATCACTTTTGTTTCGTTTTGATCATCAAACTATTATTCCTTTTAAAATCATATCTGATTTTATGTTTTAATTTCATTTTGGTCACTCATTTTTAAAAAATTAATAAAAATATTGATGTAATATTTTTTTTTTAAATCAATGATGACGTGATATTATTCAAAGATAACTCAACCATTTGACATTAAAAACCCGCGTCCTTGATATTTCTAGTGCTCGAACTCGGTATTTCAAGGTATAAGAACTATTTTTTATCATTGATGCCGCTCGGTTCGTACATTTTTTTAAATTATTTTATGTGATTATGAAATAGTATTTATTCGTAATTTTTCTTGATCATTAATAACACATACATTTTAAACTCATGATCTCAAAAAAAATTCATCTAACCACTCAACGAATTCAACGATATCTTAATTTTAGTTGTACAGTATATCATATCATAATATAACTAAATCTCTAGTTTTACTTGATCTCTAAGGGAAGAGGATTTCATCCATTAAGCCTAGGTTTGATTATTTTTTAATTTTTGAATTTTAAATTAATATGATAATATCATGTTATTATTTGATTGATTATAATTAATTTAATTAAATATCTTTTTCAGAAATGACATTATGTTTAGATTATCACTTATTAACATGTGACCATGTCATGATAATATTTCAATTCATGTGAATCTATTACAAGAAATATTAATGATTGTTTTAATTTAAAATAAAAAAAAATTAAAGTGCTATAAAATATATAAATTAAAATAATTATCAGGTAAACAGTCGAAAATAAATTTTTAGCATTATGTTAACAATATTAATAATAACAATATAAATTACAGCATTGTCATGGTTGCATTGCTGATTGGAATGCAATCCAATAATAGTTAATCATTTTACATACAAAGTTGGCCTTATTTGAGTCTCTTCCATCACACCCCCATTGAAACTGACCAATGCCTGCTAAATTTCGGGATTTTCCTGCATTATTTCTGTATGTACATGCGTAGGAAAATCCCTATTCCCGTTTCTTTTTCCGACTCGCCGGCAGAAGCTATCTCGTAAATCGACGGGGCACACGTGGTGTTGCCATCACCACATCCCGACCGGTCTTTATCATCTCCAGGCGTTCCTTTATTGTTTTATCGAACAACCGGTTCTCGGGATTTTCGGCATAGCAGACATAGTAACAGCTCACACATGCATGCGGCAATGCCATGGCGATCCTCGTCTGTCAATGCCAATTTTATAATGCATTTTAAATTAGATCAATCATGGAGCTGCGTCGCATAACATATATAAAATCCAAGTCGATCACACAATCAGAATTTCTTCATTAAAAAAAAAAGGGGTATTCCAGTCCGAGAGGCTAACCATGAGGTATCCAATGAAGAAGGCCAGGAGGGAGATGGTGGCAGTGAAGGGTCGGTGGACTGTTGCAGTCCAAGCAGCCACAACAATAACACAAATCGAACCACTGCAAACGCCAGTGAGGAAGCAAAGCGCGCTTGTCATGTCGGAATCAACGATGGATACCATTTCTTCCCTCTCGAAAAGTGCCCAAGTATCCTGCGATGCCCTAACAAAACTTTTTCCATAGGCAGCTATCTGCAGTAACAGAATAATCCTTGTTCATGGACCTCAAGCAAAAACTAGAATCCAGAAGTTTATTGAACTGCAAGTAATTCAAAATATAACAATTGATCCAAGCATGTAACAAGCAGTTATGAAGGGAAGTTGACTACCTGTACGTATGCCCACCCATTCCCATATCTGAAGATGGACTGCATAACATTGAGACAGCAATGAGCACAAGAGAACATAAATTCATCTTCTCCTTCAAGTAAATTCAAGCCTCTGGCCACGATTCTCAAGGCTTCGATTGCTGGAACGAATAAAGAACCGAGACAAGCACTGCCAAGATTCCGGGACAAGGCTCTCTGGAAGCAGAACTGAGTGTTGGACTGCATTCCTCTGAGATAATACAGAGCAATCACTCTGCTAACAGTCAAATTAACTACATTCCTCATCACTTCAGTTGTCCAAGCCAAGCTCAAGACCAATGCAATTATAACCAATGGAGTGTAGTAGAAATTCAAGGCTCCAATGACAGCCAAGATCCACAGGGACATCCACAAGAACCCAGACCCAAGCATCCAATAAGCAGGTCCGTTCAAGTCGGGGAATTTGTCAACCGGTTCGAGTGCTTTGAGCAACACCTTGAAACAAAATCCGACTCGTTGAGAGACCCAACACGCATACAAGCCATTGCCGATGGCAAAAGCGATGAAGCAGACTCCAACGCCGTCCGTTGCAGGCTTTTGGAAGCAAATCAGAAGGATCCCGGCCGATAAAGACATGAAGAAAGTGCACCATATGATGAAGTAAACCATGATCCGAGGCCATTCCCGCAAAGCCTTTTGCCAAGCAAATGCCAGAGTGATGCTCAAAAGAGATGCAGCTTCAACTTGTGGCAAGAAATATTTAAGCACCCTCTCCTCTTTTCGTCTAGCGGGGTTCGATGCATCGATTAGCCCTTGAACTCCCTTGAATATAAGAAAACCAACAAGAGCAATAGCCGCAACCTTGTGCACCAAGTATAATAATAGGGTTATTTTATTGGTGAATCGTCTCGAGTTGAGTGTTGTCACTGATTGCTGGGGGAGGGGGAAACCAAGAAAATTTCAGTTGAATTTTAAGAAAAATTTTACTACAGAAGATGAAATTTGTTGAATTTCTCGTTTATGCAGTTGAAATTCTTACTTGTGGGGTTGGTGTAGAACGAGGAGGAGGAGCCTGAAACCTAGAAGACTGGGAAGGAGGAGGAGGAACCTGAAACCTAGAAGACTGGGAAGGAGGAGCAGGAACCTGAAACCTAGAAGACTGGGAAGGAGGAGGAGGAGCCACTCTGGTACCACCATTGACGACAATCCTTAAAGGGTTTGTTGGGTTCAATGTCTGCAACATAGAGATATGAAAATGATCTCTTTGGTCTTCATTTCTCTCTAAACTCTTGTCTTCAACAAAAGCCCCCACTTGTCCCTTCTCCAAGTCCACTTTCTCTTTCTCCTCCGCCGCTCCTTTTTCCTCCTCTCTCTTTTCTTCTTCACTTTCCCCTTCCACCACCACCACCTGCATCAAAAAAGCAGCCGCTGAGAAAAACTTGAAAAGTGATTATTAAGCAAACCGGAGCGGCCATCAAGAGAAAACAACAGCTTTACATGCTCGGTGGCACCCATGGCAGCGGAATCCTCCGTGTCGTTGGATTTTTGTTGGTATGATATATACACCTACAAGAAATGGTTGGTTGTTGGTTATGGCTTTTCTTTTGTATTTCTAGGTTTGATGATGTCGTTGTGAATGTGTTACTTTACTGTCATTGACGTTACTGCCTCTTCTCCCATTGTTTTTATTTGCACATGCTTCAATTGAGTCGTGCCCCACTGTCCCTCTTGCTTTTTGTTATACGTGTGTTGCACCGAGGTTAGTTTGACCGTTGTTATTTTTTACCTATTTTTTTAAGGGTGAATTACACATTTAGTATTTAAATATTAATTTTGATTCATTTTAATATCTAAAGTTTTATTTTTTTTAATTATATCTAATATTCAGTTTTTATTTTATTTTAGTATCCCGTCATTAAAAATTTAACGGACAGGCTCGTCGGTCGTCGTATTCACAGTGATCGACCATCACACTCGTCGACCGATGAAACTCAAACGTTTAAGTCCGTGCCCTTTCGACCCTCTGAACACGATTTCGGAGCGACGATGGATTCTTCGATTTCTGCATCCTTCGATCTCTATGGGCAACCATCCAATGGGCCTGAAACTGAACTATGTTGGTCGTCTCGCCATTCTCTCGCATTCGGATTAGTCATAAGTCCAATTATATCTAATTCAGTTTTTATTTTTATTTTAGTATCCCGTCATTAAAAATTTAACGGACAGGCTCGTCGGTCGTCGTATCACAGTGATCGACCATCACAACTCGTCGACCGATGAAACTCAAACGTTAAGTCCGTGCCCTTTCGACCCTCTGAACACGATTTCGGAGCGACGATGGATTCTTCGATTTCTGCATCCTTCGATCTCTATGGGCAACCATCCAATGGGCCTGAAACTGAACTATGTTGGTCGTCTCGCCATTCTCTCGCATTCGGATTAGTCATAAGTCCACTGAAACTATGTCACACTAGTCTATTCGTTAAGTTTTTAATGCGAGATAATAAAATGAAATAAAAATAAACATTAAATATGATTTTGAAAAAAACGAAAGTCTAGATATTAAAATATATTAAAATTGAAAGTTGAAGTAGAAAACCGCAATTTACCCATTTTTTAATTATTATGCTTTTTATATTATATTGAGATTGAAATATCACAATTTTATAAAAGGAAAACAGAAAACAATAAAAGTAGACAAGTGGCAATCGTGGTTTTAAGTTGACACGGCGTGCAAGAAAGAAGCAGATGTGCTTGCAGATAAGATAGATCCTTCACCGGATACTTGTTACCAATCAAAATATGAAGCTGAAAATATCTCATTGGTTTTTACATTTATGAGTCAAATTAATTGCTATGTTGGGTTGATTTTTCAAAATAATGGACGATGGTTCTGGTCAATAATATGGCATATTCATAAATATTTTTTAGGGTGGACACATATATGTTAATAATATAAAGTTTTTAAATGAGACGGGTGCAAATAAAATTTCAGGGTAAGCATCGTCCGTAAAATAAGTAATTAATCAAAGAAAACTTATATTTCAGGATGGGCACAAAAAATTTCAGGGTGGGTGTAACACCCCAAATTACTAGTTAGTAATTTCGGGTTTACCCGAAAGTTAAGTAGATTATGTGAAATTATAAATTAAGTTGTTGGGCTTAATTGGGTTGGTTTTGGGGCCCAAATAGCTATAAAATGTGACTTTTGAATATGAGACAAAATAGGAAGGACTAAAAGTGCAATTAGACCATTGAAAAATTTGGAAACTGAATTTAGGGTTTTATATTAAGTTTTCACGTGGGGTTCTTTATTTTATCTTATCTTCCTCATTTCTTATTTCTTTCTCTATTTTCTTCCTCCATAGCAAGTGCTTAGCTCAATGTGAGTGATTGAGGTTTCTTCATTACCTTATTAAGTTTCAAATATATTCCTAATCTTCATCATTTCCATCTTATGTTAAGAATATTTGTCTTCATTTTGGTTTGAGGAAAAATGGTGGAAAAATCAACCAAAGTAAAAAAAATGAGGGTGCTTGATAGAAAAATGAGCTTCATTTCGGGTTTCTAAATTCAATGTAGTATATTTCTAATCCTTTGGAGTATTAAAGTTTCATAAATTCTTGGTGTTTGCTAAGATTTGGATGATTGAGCATTTGAGGGTTCCTCTTTGATTTCTCAACCAAATCATGTTTTAGTTGTTAATAGCATGTTTTAATTATGCTTAATGACCCTAAATAACTTACTAAAGCTTTTAAATAAGTTTAGAAACAAACTCATGTCGTTTGGGGTGATTTTTGAGTGATTCCCGAGCTTAAGCAATTCATTCCTAGAAAAAGGATCGATCCCTCGACCAAAGGGATTGATCCCAAAGTTTCTATCCAGCAAATGATCTATCCATTTTCAAAAGGATCGATCATTTCTTTTGGAGAAAATGAGCGATCCCTCGAAAGAAATTACCGATCTCTTCTCTGTTTTGCTCGATGAACAAGGATGGATTTGCATTTATTAAAGGTCCTAAGTGTTGTTGAATGTTCTTTTGACCCGTTTAAGGTCTGTAAGATCTAAGGACGATCCGTAATAATAAGACTTAGTCCGTGAGGGACATAAATGACTCAGCATACCTAAAAAACACTCGTATGAGTAGGTTACATCTGGTGTAACCATATTAAATGTAATACATTAAAGTACCTTTAATCGATGACATATACGGATAGTTGGGATTGAGGATCAATACATAAGATGTCCGATAAGTTGTACGATAAACATGTCAGATTAAGTATCGATGAAGAGCGTGGTGTTTCGAAAACGTCAGTGAACCGAAAATGGATAAGTCATTCCAGTACTTCAAGAGGTATTGTGAGAATTAGGATAAAAGCGTTAGGAGTGTTATTACCTAGTAACGAGCCCGAGTCATGTATTGGGCTAACTAGTGAATCAGTCATTGTATTGTAAGCACCATAATCACCGGGAAATTGTGAAACGCTTAGAGACCTCTCCGGATGTAGAAATGAGTAAAATACCCCATAAGTATTAATACCCCCTCCCATAACGTCCTAGGCAAGATGATAAGCGGGATAGTCTCGAGTGAAGGGGATATGACCTCACCTAACTTCAATGAGTTCAGTAGCGAGTGATCAAGCTACTTCGCTTGCTGCAGTGTGGTATCAGTTGACATGTGTTAAGGCGTGGCTCTAGATGAGAGTCTTATAATAATAATGAGATAATAACATTAATTGTGCATAAAATCTTTATGATGTAAGATTCCATAAGACTTATACCTTTGTGTGTCGCTCGGGAAACGGTGAGGACACCCCAGTTACTTTAGCAGTAGGACGCTCGTCTTGTGTGCATAGAATATCTGAATATATCCAAGCAGTGCAAGATGCACTTTAGTCGCTAGTTGAATGTGGTACTGATGTTATGTGACCCATACACATTCCAACTACTCAAGATGGGTGGTATAGCCATGCAAGGTGTCGATGTTGTCTGACCCGGACCTAGCCTAAGGTATTGAGAGATGTTGATGCTACGTGACCTGGACCTCGCCTGAGATACTTGAAAGATGTTGATGTTGTGCGACCCAGATCTACCCAAGGTAACTCTATAAAGCAAATAGATGTGTGAGTTCCGTGATGCTATATGACCCCGAGCTACGCCACGATCATACTTATTGTTGAGTGATACCGTGTACCGTCATTGTATTTAGCATGATGATGCATTATAGGATGATAATGCAGTTAGAGACTTAGTACTTGTATACTCATGGCGGGGCCATTATTGAAGACTAAGGGAAGCATGAGATATTAGATTCGAGAGATAGAACTGGAGGACCTTATGTAGGTAGCTCTAATTGGAATCATGATTGTACCTGCTGCTTAGTACTATGTTTCTAGCATGCTTTAGTTTGTGGAATTCTTATACTGCTCTAGATTAGCTATTATATTGCAGAGCTTTGTAAGCTCAACCTTCGATGTTTTCCGTTGGCATTGTTCGTAGCTTGAGTAGTTTGTGGAGCACCATCGCCACAACACTTCCAGCATCTTCGACAGAGTAACGTACTGTAACTTTAGTGGGCATATGTATTCATAGAACCTTACTTATGTATTTGAGTTGTAAACTTTAAGATGTATTATTTTGATTTAAATAATGTGTCTCGGAGCTACGGTTTTGTAAAAGTATTTTTATAACAGTTGCTTATGTTTTATTATGATACCACTCAGTACATTTGAAAATAAAATGAACATGTTTTTAGGATCAAGGTTTCCTCGACAGCCCAATATGACACTTTAAGCCCAATCGAGTTTAGGGTGTTACAATGGTTACCATCAATAAAATAAGTACTTAATCGAAGAAAATTCAAATTTTAGAGTCAATATGTGCCTAACCTAAACAAGTCGTGGCTCTGCAGGATGGTTGTGGACCATCCGTCAGGAGGTAGGCAGCTTATTCAATTTCACATGCTACAAAGGAATTTCAGGTTAAATGTTTTTTTTAAATCTGGCATCATTAATATGTTTAAACAACGGTCTTAGTAATAAGAAAGATTATTATTATTTTTAAATAATTCAAAATCGAACAATATAATTTATATGTATACTTGAGTTTTATTGAGGGGAGTTTAAAATGTAATTTGTTAATAGAATACTAAAAAAAACAACATAAATAAGTTGTAGTAATTTCTTTTACCAAAAAGAGTGATCTTATATGTTAAACCGAGTAAAGTTCTAGGTTAAAATCGAAAATATTATATTTTTCATTTAAAAATCGTATATTTTTTTATGTTATAAGTTCTAAATCCACTATAATGTAACTTTTTCAATTATAATTGAAAATATTATAAATTGTATAATTTTTAAATTAAAAAAATAATATTTTAAGTTAAAATTATCCTCAATTAAACTGCAAAGTATAAAGAATTGATCTTTAATCAAATATAATTTTTTTCTAAAAAAAACTTCAATTTGTTAGCTCTCTTTGCAAGTACAAAGAATATAAACGAGCAGAGTAATAGTTTCCACTAAAGTTTTAACGGTTTGATTTAAGGTTAAAAATGATAAAAAGCAATATATGGTTAAAAAATTTATCAAAAAATATAAAATTTTATAA